CCTTGTGAGAGTTATTCCTTGCATAATATTCTCAAGCGAAGCAGCTAAACCCTAAAATATAACTTTAATTTGTATAATCTTGTGTTAACTGCATTCCAAAACAACAGGTGGAGTTAAATAATGCAGCTATATATTTAAAATAAAAATAATAAAAAAGGAGACAGAAATGACAAATATTGATGAGGAAGCTAGAGAGTCAGTGAAGCAGAGATATGACAAGAGGTTTGCAAATAGAAGGGGCTGCAATAGAGAAACTGCTTAGGCTCCCAGAAATCATGTAGCATGAAAAAACATTAAAGGAGTATAGTAGCTTAATGCAAAGGACTGGGAGTGAAGAAGAGGGATATAACAAAGCTGATGAGTTGGTCCATCAGAGGAAGCACAAGGCTAGAAGGCAATCACTATGGGTAGTTCTTGAAGTGAACAGGAAACCAATAAAGCTTTGTGACTACAAATTACGTGGTCTGGGCTTTTTGTACATCTGAAGAAATGAGTAATGGCTTCCAATGAAAGCAGTAGCATTGATGTATATTTTTACTATAACTACTCTAGCATGAATGGTGTATTTCAGGTGTAACAAAAACAGTTTCTATTTATGCCTCAAGGTATAAATGACCTGTTTTTGTAAGATGATATTCAGATGTAATCCCTGACCTGCTATGATTACAAACCACTAATCCTATTATACACGGCACATGGCAAATAATAGCAAAATGCTATACTGTAATTAAGCTGGATAAACTATACATTGACAAAAAGTATTCACCTTTAAGCCAACTAGTGGTATGCATTCTTTATCTAACATAGACAATATAGGCTTAAATGGTATAATATATGAAAACATGGCCAGGGTAATATGTTTGGTTTTGTGGGGGAGGGAACAAAACAAGGGGAAATTGAGTGCTTTTCATATGTATTAGTGACACTACTGATTTACTTTTATATACAGTAAAAGTTCTGTTATCCAGCATCCCCCGGGAATGGGGAGCAAAATATGCCAGTTAACCGAGCGGCCCGAACAGGCATCCTTGCCTGGTCAGGCCACCATTTCTCCTGCCACACCTGGGGCATCGCTGCCCCTCTCGCAGCATCGCTGACCCTCCTGTGGGAGCCGTGGGGCAGGGAGGTGGGCCCCACACAGCCTGTTATGCCCCTGGGCCATGGGGGCTTGGTAGCACAGGCTGCTTTGCCCTGAGCCATGGGGGCATGGAGAAACTGGAAGTGCCACAGTGGGCACTTTTGGTTTCACTTTTTCTTACAAGCCAGCATGCCGGTTAATAGAGCATGCTGGCTTGTAAGGTGCTGGTTACCAGAGTTTTTACTGTAGCTTCTTTTTTAAACAGATCCACAAAGAATCACAGAAGTTTAGGGCTGGAAGGGACCTCATGAGATCACTGGGTCCCGTACTGTTTGCTCTGCTAACTGTAGCATCACATTGGTGGCTCCTATTCATTTTATGGTAAATTATGACCCCCAGGTCAATTTCAGACATGGTGGTAGCTAGTGTAGCACCACTGAGCCTTTAAGTCTGTTGCAGATTTTTCCTCTCAAGATGGAGCACATTACACTTCTCAATGTTCAACTGCATCTGGTTCTGGTCTGCCTATCTATCTAATTTGTCTAGGTCTGCCTGGATCATTAGCCTGGATCCATGGCTGCACTTCCCCAGAGCTGTCTCATCGGTGAAATTTGCCAGGTAATACTTTAGAAATCCTTGGGTTGCTTTTACCATTCCTTAGCACATTATGTTGCTATTTACAGCAATACTCAGGGAACAGAAAGTGAGAATCAGATAGCATTGCTGCTATGAACTGGGAGTAGGGGTATTTACATAGTTGACATGTTGAAGATGCAGACATACTGAACTGCATCAGGCATAAGGCATATGAGAATTAGGCCCAATATCTTTAATTTTGTGAACAGCCCACAGACTTCAGGGATGGGCACAACACACATGCATATAATGATAAAGGGTGATTTCAGAAGAAGAGCATTCAACTTGTTTCATGGAAACAATGGAAAATAAAGACCTGATGTGAAGCCTGAACCCCAGCTTTGCAACCTAAAAGCAGCTGTTACCAATGGTAACAGCTGGGGGACTGTGGTGTAGATACCCATACAGTCCAATGGGTCGCCAACTGGTTAGAGAGTCGCACCCAGAGGGTGGTAGTGGATGGGTCCTTCTCGACCTGGAAGGACATGGGAAGTGGGGTCCCACAGGGCTCGGTCCTTGGGCCCGCCCTGTTCAACATCTTCATCAGTGATTTGGATGAGGGGGTGCAAAGCACCCTGTTCAAGTTTGCTGATGACACTAAGATGTGGGGGGATGTGGGCACAATAGAGGGGAGCAACAGGCTACAGTTGGACCTAGACAGGTTACAAGGATGGGCGGAGGAGAACAGGATGGGGTTTAACACAGACAAGTGTAAGGTGATGCACCTGGGGAGGAACAATCGGCACCATACATACAGGCTGGGGAACTCCCCTCTTGTCAGCACGGAGGTGGAAAAGGATCTGGGAGTCATTATTGACTCCAAGATGAACATGAGTCGGCAATGTGGGGAGGCGGCTAGGAAGGCCAACTGCACCTTGTCGTGCATCCACAGATGCATCTCGAGCAGGTCCAAGGAGGTGATCCTCCCCCTCTATGCGGCACTGGTCAGGCCGCAGCTGGAGTACTGCGTCCAGTTCTGGGCGCCGCACTTTAAGAGGGATGTGGACAGCATGGAGAGGGTCCAGAGGAGGGCCACTCGTATGATCAAGGGACAGCAGGGTAGGTCCTATGAGGAAAGGTTGCGGGACCTGAACCTGTTCAGCCTTCAAAAGAGAAGGCTGAGGGGGGATCTTGTGGCCTGTTATAAACTGGTTAGGGGGGATCAGCAGGCGCTGGGGGAGTCCCTGTTCCCCCGAGCGCCGCAAGGAGTGACCAGGAACAATGGTCACAAGCTGGCGGAGGGAAGGTTTAAGTTGGACATCAGGAGGCGCTACTTCACAGTCAGGGCGGCTAGGGTCTGGAACCAGCTTCCAAGTGAGGTGGTGCAGGCTCCCACCCTGGGGGTTTTTAAGAGGAGGTTGGATGACCACCTTACTGGGGTCGTTTGACCCCAGTGCTCTTCCTGCCATGGCAGGGGGTCGGACTAGATGATCTGCTCAGGTCCCTTCCGACCCTAGAAACTATAAACTATGAAACTATGGTGTGTCTACACATGCATTTGATATGGGATCAGTTTACTTTCAAGTAAACGCTTCTGGGCAGGCATCTACACATGCAGGGAACCGGGAGCAGATTTGCTGCTAATGGCAGCAAACTGCTCCCGTTTCCCAGGGCCCCGCAACGGGCCCCTGCTGCCACCAGCGGAAGCTCTAGGCTCCACCTGGGTGCTGGCCTAGGGCTGGTAGGGAACCAGGAGAGAGCTGTCTCCTGGCCAGGGCTGGGATGTTGCACCTTGTCCCCAGGGGGCTGCCTGCTGCCAGTGGGCTAGCAGTTAGCTCACTGCTAGTTGCCCCACTAGTGAATTGGGACAGGGGGCTAGGACCTACCCCACCCCAGCAGCTCTTTCTAAGCTCCATGCCTCAATCACCTGATCAGGGCATGGGGCTGGGACCTATGCCTGACCAGGACAGCTCCCAGCCCCAGCTCCACAATCACAGGGGCGGAGGCTATGAAGCTTGTTCCCTGCTCAGCAATTTTAGCATGGAGGCGGGTGGGGAACAGGCTCCCCAGCCACTGCCAGCAGGAAACTTCCAGTGCCAGCTCTGCAGTCACAGGGTTAGCGCTGGGAGATCCTTACCTCCCAGTCTGAGCTCTGCAGTCATTGGGCTTAGGCTGGGAGACCCTTACCTTGTAGCACCAGCTCCCCAACCACAGAGCTTAGGCCGAGAGGTAAGTTTCTCCTAGCTCCCCACTCATGATGATGAAGGGGACTGGAAGATAAGGTTCTTCCAGCCTCCACTCCCTGATTGTGATCTCAGAGTGTGGGGCTTGGAGCTCTCTGCTGCCGGGCAAGGGAACAAAGTTCCTACCCAGGCTCTGGTGGTGGAGCCTGCCCTGGCAGCAGACAGCTCCTGGGGGCAGGGAGCAATGTCCTGTCCCCTGATGGTTGGCTGCTGGGAGCAGATTTGCATCAGGCATCTACATGGTCAGGTGTCAACATGAGCACTACTGCACTGTTACTACTCTAAAGTAAATCTGCTACTTGCATTTGCAGGTAGAACATTTATTCATAATTAGCGAGGTTTACTAAGCAGTAAGCATGTGTACATGTAGATACACATGCTTACTGCATAGTAAATTATACTACTTCTCAATGAAGCATTGCATGTAGGAATGCCCACTGTTACTCATTTAAGTGCTACTGGTGGTAATACCAGTCCTTAAGGTTGCTTGACACTTTTCATTAGAAGACCCTGTTCAGTTTGCTTGCAACTTCACTAAATGATGCAATCTGAATGTGCATGGAGATTTTCAGCAAAAATGGTTCTCCCATTTCCAAGAACAGGGTTAGGAGAAAACACATTGCCCTATAATTGTTAAAAATAAACTTCAGAGACCATTCAGTTTCAGGGAACTCAGGCTTTGGAGTAGGGGCAGAATATCTGAGGGGATGCAGTCGTAGGCTCAAGGCAATCGCTTTTGCAATCTCCATATCCTCCTGATAAGGGGAAAGCAGGGGTTCTGCAGAAAATGTATTATGTGATTATATAAAATCCAAGACTATATTATAAAGCTTGTGTATTATTGGACAAAAATTTGGTCATACAAACAACATTAGTTTTGGAATCACTTGGTATCTGAGTGTGCTTTAATTTTTAATTTCATTATTATTTTATTTTTTTTTAATGCAATTTGAATGGACAACACTATCTGATGCTAGAAGCATGTGTTCATGTGAAAAACTACACAAAAGGGTTGTGTATGCTTTTGTTAAAACCACTAGGATGTCACCAATTTTTGACATGTAGTTCTTGATCAAAGATATAAAATAGTAGCTAATACATACCGCAATCATTATGCCACTTGTTCCATTGAAATTGTCAATCCAGCCCTGCCAAAAAAAAAGGAAAGAAAAAAAAAGAAAAAAGGAGAAGCAATTATTTCTTTCAGCAATGTGTGGCGCATACAGGATTTCAGAACGGTGAAAGGGTTGTGGAGCTGTGGTATAGATGAAGTCACTTAATCAGAACAAATTTTAACAGAATGCCAACTGAGCTGGGATAACTGCCAAGCAACAAGCTAGTACAAAGTATTTAACTGATTTTAAATATGGGATATGTGGCATGGCATCTGCTATTGTCTGGAGTTTACTTTACTCATCACAATACAGTCAAATTTTGTTACAGAGAACACCATTTTACAGTGATAATTTTACTATACGTATCAAATCTACTTTTCCAAAGTGCCTTGTTTGCCTTTGCTTGTAGTGCTCAGCATGGTATGTGTGTGTCAGGATCGGAGCAGAGGTAATTTATTTGATCATTTTCTGATGTTTTCAAGGACAGAAAAGAATATCACAACTCTTGAATATGATTGCTTCAGGTAATGGAAATTACATTATGTAGGAATTATAATAGGAGAGTGTAGTATTTCTTCTGACCAGCAAATAGTACTGTGATGCCTAACAGAATTTACTCTGTCCTTCCAAGATAGATATTTTGCTTCAGATGTTAGGCTATGTCTAAGCAGGAAAAATAGGGGGAGAAGTAGTCATCTTCCTGATTTGGCCACAGTTTCAGGACTTTTTGCACCTTCTGATGTCAGAAGTAAATGTGGCTTGGCAAATTATTTCCATAAATAAAGGGTCAGGGAGGCTTCATGTGTAATGCTCCTAATATTTGCAACACTCCTATAAATGTGCATTTGGTGCATTGTTGAAAAGTTCTGAGAAGCCAGCACATACCTCTATAGTATGTAAACCAAAGGAAATGGCAAGCCAAGGGTGCTCAGTCCCAACCCTGACAAACTCCATTACTAGGCCTTTCTGGTCTGCCTACCACAGTACCTCAGCAGAAGGCTTGGGAGCTGAATGTGCAGGGAACCTATCTGGCCCTTTGATACCTAGAAGTATACCTCTTAGCTCAGTGCTGAGGAACATGGACATGGTAACCTGGAGAGGACTGCACACTTCACATGGTACTTCAGTCTCCATCATTTAGCATTTACATTTGATGCAATGAACTGCTTTTTTTTCCCTGGCATTATTTGAAAATGAGAATCTTTCCTGGAGATGTTAAGTGAACTCAATACTTCTGCAGCAGCCACACCTCCTTCCCAACACCCATCAGCTTTCTTAGAGACCCTGAAACACCAGAGTGCTCTTCTAAGATTTCAGGCAGTCACCTTTATAATGAGGAATGGCTTCCAGGCAGCAGATGACACTCAGATCAGAAGGAGACTGAGTAGGAAACTACTAAAGAAAGAAAGGTGATCATGCTTACTGGGAAAGGCTCATGCCAACTGGCTCCTACGATGGATGGCCTGATGATGGCAATGTTCAAGTTGGCTTTCTCCTGTTGGAGCAGGTACTCTGTCAAGGCTTTGGTGTATGCATAAGTATTGGGCCACTCCCCAATCAGCTTGGGTGTGATGTCTTCAATGATAGATTCATCCATCCACCTAGCAGGAGAGAGAACAGAACTCCACTGATAAATGCCACACAAACAGGTAGATGAAATGGGGAGGGAGTCAGGGGACAAGCACCCTCAGCTGCAACAAAGGAACAAGCAAATAGAAAGCCTTGTAGGCTAAGTAAGGAACAGCTTGGACAGCCCTGTGGGAGATGTTTTAGCTAATGAATTATCTAGATGCTTCTCAGTAGCATAAATGAGTCCACACTGAGCTGTGTTGCCCTGGCTAGACTGCAGCCAGCGTCTTGTTTAAACCTAGTTCAGGTAGCTCTACACCATGCTGCAGTATCCTGAGTGGATGTTCTCCTGAGACAGGTTCTGACAGAATCTCCTAACTTGGGACTTCCATACCTTCCTCATGAGCACAAACTAAGTGCACTTTCTTGTAGGTTTCTGGCAATCTTCTACGCCACCAGGAAGTTAGCTGTATTGACAAAATTTTAAATGTGCCCTTTTTGTGGTATTGCCATTGCATTTATTACACGTATCTCTGACATTGCTGGGTCCATCTACACATGTGCTTTGCAGTAGGGCTGACTAATTAGCTTCACAGTAAGGCATCACTGTCTACACATGTGCCTATATTAGGGCACAGTAAATTAATTAATTCTGCTGTAGGATAGTAGTGTCTGGGACAAGTACTACCCTACAGCAGAGTCATTTAGTGTGCCAAAATGCATGTGTACACAGTAGCTGGCTGGGACACAATGGTGCTACAGTGTGGGGGCCAGCCAGCCCCCTTGCCACTGAACAGTACCACCCAAAGCCTGGCTCAAATAGCTGTGGTCCTGGGTGCATGTGAAGACTCTGTGCTCAAGAGCAGCCGACTCCAGCGTGAGCTGTGCCAGAGTTTATTGCTACATGCTAATTGCTTATGTAGATGCATCCACTGTGTCTGAATGCAGTGTTACAACATCCACTAAAGAAGAAAATGATCTGCTTGGGTCTTCTCTTTCCAAAGAAACAGATGTGGCCTACTGTCTCTAAGCGGTAACATGGGAAAGTAGAGAAAGGTAGTGTTTACTAATTGAAGGATATGGGTTCAATTTCTACTTCTACTAGAATGCCCTTAGAAAACTTCTGCTGTCCCACCAGCAAAAGGAGATCAATGACACAGGCTTTTCCCAAGGCTAGTGGCTGTTTCTGTCTGGGTGAAAGATGCAGGAAATATTTCCCACTGCAGCAGGAAGGGTGGTCCCTTCAATTGGCTGGTACACATAAGATTAAGAGAATACTGTTGTTACCTGATAAAGGACATAAGACTAGATTTTTAAAGAGGTTCAGGTGCTGGTAACATGTAGATTTCAATAAGAATTATATGTCTACATACCCTCAGTAATCTGCTGCTTATTAATTTGGCTCAAGTAGGAGATGTCATCACTGCTGTTACTTATCATAGCTGTTGTTTACCCTGCCTGTATTTAGGTTCTGAGCAGAAGGGAACTAGCTGTGTTTCCAAAGTTCATGAATAGTGCTAGAAATCCAGCTAGTGTTTTCAGTAGTCTGATGCATCAGCCCTTACAGTCAGAGCTAAGATCCAATAAACATTTTGTCCCCTGCACTAGATGGTACTGCTTACTGGAGACATTCTAGAGATGTTGTTGTATTTTTTTTTGCATACCACACACGTTCCCAAATAAGAAGCTTCTTGGTTTGGGAAGGTAAAATGAAAATAAAGATTTTTCCTTTAAACAAACCATTCAGAATCAGTTTCCTCCTTTAAGACATGCACTTCAATTTTCAATAACCAATTGTGGGCAAAACGGTGAGTGTGGTATGTGAATAAATACGACAGTTTCACACGGATCTTTCTTTGCTTTTCCCTGCACAAAAAACGCAAGAAGATGGGAAGTTCATAAAATAAGATAGGGAACTGACTGGGGGGGGGGGGAAAGCAAATGAAGGAGGGAAAGGCATATGTGACATCTTGATAACTCCTTGATTAAATGAACTCCAAGCTGAGTTCCAAGCACCAGAAGCTGCAACTTGGTTCCTCCATTTGCACACTGATCGTCAAGTGATGGTTGGAAATATTCCAGCAAAATGCTTCCCCCCCTCCCCCATCAGAAAATGTTGATTCATCAAAAACAAAACCTTTTTCAGGAAAAGGTCTGTTTCAACCAAATCTTCAAGTGTCATAAAAATTATGAAAAACATTGACAATGTTACATTTCAAATTTGTTGCTAATTTATAATGTTCCGAGGGAGGAAGGAACTGAAATTTTTAGATAGCTGGTTTTTTTGGCCTGACTGGGGACAGGAAAAAAATATTTTAAAATCTCAAAAACTCTCATGAGATAGGAAGACCATTTTATACCTAAGAGTTGTTTGACTGCGTGTGGACATTAAGAATGATAACAACATTTTTGAAAGAAACCGTGCCGCAGTTATCACTATGAAACACCCATTTGTTTTCCGAGAGTGTCTTAAGTTGCCATCAGAATACTCTAACAGGAGTAGGTGGGACAACTTGTAATGCTCAATTTGTTGCATCTTGTCCATTTAATAAACACTTTTTGCCAAAGTACACTTCTCAGGTGCCATTTTTTCCTGATTACTTAGTATTTAATTAATACCCTACATAAAGGCACATAGAGGCACTGTTTCGAAACTGTCTAGAGCAGGGTTGTCAAAGATACCTTGTGCTCTGGGCCGGATATAAACTATGGGCCTCCTTGCAGGGTAGATCTGTCCTGAGACACAGGTCATCTGCAGTAGGTCCAGTGGCAGCTAGTAGTGACTGCAGTGGCAGTGAGATTGGTGGTAGAAGGGCAAGTGTTGGTGGACCAAGCAGCCATAGGGTGGGTAGGGCTGTGTCAGCCCAGCCCTTACTCACCCTCCTGCCACTGACAGTCATGTCCACTAGGATCTGGGGCACCTGAATTCTGTGGCAGGGCTCTACTCTCCCCCAGCCATGCCCCCAACTTCCTGGTAGCTCAGCAGGCCAGATCAAGTGCTTTCATGGGCAAAATTCAGCCTGCAGCCTATCTGTTCTACACCCCGGATTAAAGGAACCATGGGTTTATTTGGATCTCCAACTTCAAACTTTTCATTTTTCGTTGGTGTTTGTTTGCAGTGATTTTTAGTTAGGGTGCTGTGTACAACAAGACCCTTTTAAGGGTGCTATGGTTGCCACTCAATATTAGTACTGTTAGGTATGCAAACACCTAGACATGATTCACAAGATAAACCCAGACATTTCAAAGAGCAATTTGTAGCGTCAAAAACATTCTGACTTTTGGTTTTTCAGAGGTTTTTGCAACAGAGTAATTGCCCTATTATTTTTCCATAGTCAAAAAATGAGCAAAAATTAAGAGCTAACATTTTTGAGTGGTGCCTTGAGTTTAATGAGGTTGAGAACCACTGGTGTGCAGGTTTGTATTCTTCTCAAAGCAAAGAGAAACAGCACTGTGCTTTTAAGTATACTAGCATTTGTTGTTTTTCCCATGCAAAATTTCTTCCAAGTTTTTCCCCCTCTAGGAGCTGTCTTCTAAGGCCTCGCAACAGTCTGATACATGTCCCATCAGAAGCAACAACCCCTCTTGTGATCTGATTTGCTGGAATTAGTATCACAAAAGCACTAAGCTGACAATTCACGCAGGTAAACTCCTTTCACTTCTATACCATTCTCATGACCTACATTTGGGATTTTGAAATGCTATTTCCTACTGTAACTGCTTTGCTCACCAGTATCACTGTCGCATGGAATCAAAGAAAAATGCTGTGTTTAGCAGCCCTCCTGCCCCCCCACCCCCAATATGCATGTATATATTTTATTGTGAAGAAACAGTCTCTCATTTTTAAGGCTGCATGCTCAACATAAATAAGGCACTCCCTTATATAAATCTGAAGTGACCTCTTTTTTCTGTTCCTATAACATTTTAATCAAGAACAGTGTGCACTCTGCCTCAGTCTATACTTTGTGTACTGTGCTGTGCTTCTTACCTCAGTGCACCCTCCAAAGCTGATTTCCCTCGGCTTTGGATTACGGCAAACCTTGCTTGATGGGGCAGATTATAGGTTTGCTCTATTGGCCTGGCAGCAGTTAGAAGTGTAACTTTTGCTTTGCGCAGATCAGTCTGAGGGTTTCAGTTATAGCATCATATTGGAAAACTGGGAGATTTCAGGAGGGAAAAACAGGGACAAAAAAAGCAAAAAAAGCTAGGATTTCAACCAAGAATTCCAGTTGAGTAAATAATTCCAAATATAAAGTAATGAGAGGACAGAAAGGACAATTAAAAAGATCTGTTTTGCTGTGGGGACCTGTCACTTAATGTGTTCATAGAAATACTGGCCTCATATGTCTAAGAAGCTTCTCAACACCTGAGCCTAAAAGGTCCTCATTGCATGCTACTGAGAAACAGGAAATGACCTGCAAAGAGAGAAGAGTCTCTCAGTGTGACCTACTGCAGTTTCTATTGGCACTGGCTATCTGAGGGCAGAAATAGAATAGCAGTTGCACAGCCAAGATTGCACAGTATCGTTAGCCTCAGACATGTAGATAAATGAAACCACAGAAAAGAAAAACAAGATGTTTGCTCAGCTGAATGCTTTAAAAGAATGTTTTTAAAATTGGTATTTCAATATGAAAGGATGCTTTCACAGCTTGGTTGGGAGAAAATGACCTACTATTTCTTTCCCCTTTTTGTTGACAAAATTCTTGAGAGAGCGCAAGAGAGGACATCCATGCACAAACCTTTAATTAAATAATTTTTTGAGGGGAATGTTTCCACATTTCTTTACCTGTTAGTTTCCTTTATATATATCTATATCTATATATCTACAGTGTCAATTTGGACACTTAGATAATGCTTCTCTAAGGCAACTGATGAAGACAATATAATGATGTATTTTAGTTGCAGCCTCCGACTTTCTCTTTGGTTCCATCCTGCCCCAGCCAGCCCTTTGAGCTTCAAACTCTCTCAGTCTCTCTGTCCTTTGTCCACCTTTGTGTTTTCAGTACTTACCCCCACACAAGTCCATAACCCT